GATATATAATCTTTTAACTCATTTCATTACCAAAGATGAAAAGACTGAGGCTTCTGCACAGGAAGACTGAGACAAGGAACATTCTTGATGACGGAATTGGTGTAACACTATCGGGAGAGCAGGTTAGTTATCAATCGTATCACCAATATGGAGTATCTTCAACCATGGAGTGTTATCTCTCTGAAACTATCCCAAGAAGACGTAACAGAGTAGCAGCAGTGTGATGGTGTTCAGTAATGGTGGCAGCTAATACTTACCCAGTGTGTTCTGTATGCCAGGCCCTGCTTCAAATGCTCCCTGTATCACATACCATTTAACCCTTCAACTATCCTTTCTAGTCTGCACCCAGCACTGCTATTTTATAGACAACGTCAGAAAACGTCTCTCTTTTCTAGCTCATATGCAAGGCCAGACTCTTCACACGGTGTTTACCAACTTATTACAAAAGATGAACCAAAGTTCTCTGATGAGAACTCTTCTCATGTACATGCACAGAATTTCTTACAAAAGACTTATTCAGAAATTGTAATATTGCTCAAAATCTTTGCCAGTATATTGGTTCCTGATATTAATGGTAATATCTTTAAAACGCTGTCATTAAAAGGGTGAGAAAACTGTGTAAACCCTAGAAAAGACTTTTCTTCTGCATGTGCCCCTGTGAGACCAGGGCAGATGGTAACAGTGACGATGCCACTGCACCGTGGAGCACAGTAGGTCTCAGACACCTAAACCACCTACTGCCAACCTCCTGCCTCAGGCAGCTTGGTGTACTCACTGGTCATTGAGTAACCTTGCTGCTGCATGGCTCACTGAACGTTGGCATGAATAAAAACATGGCCCCTTTAAAAAATTCTTTCACAACTTCCAAATTTTACTGAAAACTGTCTTCTTCCCTGAGACCATTCTAGGCCTCTTTGGCACACGGAGCTTTCTCCTTTCTTCAAGGTGAGCAAGGTGCATTTCAAATTGAGTTCATGTATTTTACATGGAAATAGACAAAGCTCAAATGCTCATCAAATTCCTAACTGCTCTGTCCTGATGAAATGGTTAACTGGGCAGCGTGCACAGCTCAAGCCATCACAGGAATCCATATTCCTTCTTGGGGGCTCCATTTGTGTGACAAAGGGAACCATCTATTTCCACTGCCATTACAAGTAGGTTTACTAAGCACCTTTCCCCCTTAATTTTAGTAACACAAATCTTCTTTTGATTTTTGGATGTCTAACCTATAAACACCCCTGAATTATTGAGAGAAAAGCTCTATGTATTTAACTATGAATATATATCCCTACTTACTTTCCAAGAAGTGGTTTATGCGAGAAAGTCTGGGTAGGAGCTAAGGTGCTGAGCACTGTGCAGTGCTGAGAGCTGTTCTGAGACCTTTAGATCCACAGAATTTCCGGACAATACTTGAAGGTATGTATTATAATAACAAAATTAGATATGAAGTGATCAGCAGTCCACTTATGCCAGAGGAATTACGGAGTAACAAAACCCAGACTGGATTCGGTCGTTTGCTTTCCGAGGCTGTGCTCTCAGTCACTGCTGTTGCTTATAGGAACCTAAAACCACGGCAATCTAAAGTCAGGTCACAAAGGCTAGGGGCAGGTAGCAAGGAAGCTGGGCAAAGAAGGGAAACCCCTTACATTCAAATGCATTCTTAACCCTGCAGGAAATCTTGAATACTCATCTTCCTGACTCTGTGTAAACATTTAAATTTACTGACGGTGGGCAGGCAGGCACATCCATTACTGCCTCACTTCCACAGAAGCTGCTTTCTGCAACCCCACCTCCCACCTAGTTAGGTTCGCAGGCTGCACTTCTGAGCCCGGGCAGTACAAGAGAATCACACTGGCAACTTGTAAGAAACATACCCAGGCCTAAATTAAATTGGAAATATGGACAATAGTGGGGGATGGGCAATAGTGTTTTAAAAATGCTCCTGCAATGACTGTAACAGGAAGTCAGGGAGTGACGAGAGGGGAATTAATATTGGCTCTGGGGATATTCAAGAGATGCCTGGATCACGCGCTGTTTTGAGTGAGGTGGGACCAGGGTCAGGCACAGGGAATGGTTTGGCTCCTCTTTAAAATTTATTTATTTCATTTATGTTTATGCACCCACATGCCACGGCACACTCATGCGGGGGGTCAGAGCTGTCATCCTAGACCCCCACCTCACATGGGAGCATCGGCACTGCAGAGACAGGTGTGCTCTATTACAGGGGGTCACTGGCTGGGACGCGAGAGAGAAATCTGTCAATGGAATCCACCATATAAATACACTGAAAGGAAAAAAATAACCATAAGGTCATCTCATTAGATGTAGAAAAAGCTTTTAACAAATTCCAACACCACTTCATGATAAAGGACTTGGAGAGATCAAGGATACAAGGAAAGTATCTAAACATAATAAAAATAATATGCAGCAAGCTGACAGCCAACATCAAATCAAATCAAATTAAATGGAGATAAACTCAAAGTGATTCTACTAAAATCAGGAGCAAGACAAGGCTGTCCATTATCTCCATATCTATTTAACATAGTACTCAAAGTTCTAGCTAGAGCAGTAAGACAGCAAAAGGAGATCAAGGGGATACAAATTGAAAAGTCAAACTTTTGCTATCTGCAGATGATATGATAGTATATATACCCCAACAGTTCTACAAGGGAACTCCTTTAGTAATGTGGCAGGATATAGATGAATTCAAAAAAATCAAGAGCCCGCCTAAATACATGATAAAGGAGCTGAGAAAGAAATCAGAAACATCACCATTCACAATAGCCACAGATAACATAAAATAATCTTGGGGTAATGCTAACCAAAGAAGTGAAAGACCTGTATGACAAGAACTTTAAGTCTTTGAAGAACAAAATTAAAGAGGATATCAGAAAATGTAAAGATCTCCCATGTTCTTGGATAGGCAGAATAAACATAATAAAAATGGCAATCTAACCATAAGCAATCTACAGATTCAATGTAATCCCCATCAAAATCCCAACACAATTCTTCACAGACCTTGAAAGAACAACACTCAACTTCATATGTAAAAATAAACCCAGGATAGCCAAAATAATTCCGGACAAGAAAGGAACTTCTGGAGGCATCACCATCCTTGACTTCAAGCTCTATTATAGAGCTATAATAATGAAAACAGCCTGGTATTGGCATAAAAACAGACACATGTAACAATGGAAATGAATTGAAGATGCTGACATTAATCCACACACCTATGAACACTTGACTTTTAACAAAGAAGCTAAAATTATACAGTGGAAAAAACAAAGCATATTTAACAAATGGTGTTGGCATAACTGGATGTCAACATATAGAAGATTGCAAATAGATTCATATCTATCACCATGCACAAAATTCAAGTCCAAGTGGATCATGATGAAGAGAAAGTGGGAGGTAGCTTTGAATGCACTGGCACAGGAGACCATTTCCTAAATATACTACCATCAGCACAGACACTGAGAGCAACAATCAATAAATGGCACCTCCTGAAACTGAAAAACTTCTGTAAGGCAAAAGACACAGTAAGATAAAATGACAGCCTACAGAATGGGAAAAGACCTTCACCAACCCCACATCTGACAGAGTGCTCATCTCTAAAATATATAAAAAACTAAAGAAACTAGACATCAAAATATCAAATAATTCAATTTAAAAATGAGGTACAGATTTAAACAGAGAAGTCACAGTAGAAGAATATCAAATGGCTGAAAGACATTTAAAGAATTACTCAACATCCTTAGTTATCATGGAAATGCAAATCAAAATGACCCTAAGATACCATCTTACACCTGTCAGAATGGCTAAGATCAAAAACATTGGACACAGCTCATGCTGGAGAGGATTTGGAGTAAGGGGGAAAAAAACTGCTGGTGGGCGTGCAAACTGGTATCTTTGGAAATCAGTATGGTGGTTTCTCAGAAAATTGGGAATCAATCTACCTCAAGAAACAGTGATACCAGTCTTGGGCATATACCCAAAGGATGCTCAATCATACCACAAGGACATTTGCTCAGCTGTGTTCACAGCAACATTATTTGTAATAGCCAGAACCTGAAAACAACCTAGATGCCCCTCATCAAAGAATGGATAAAGGACATGTGGTACATTTACTCAGCTGTAAAAAACAAAGACATTATGAAATTTACAGGCAAATGGATTGAACTAGAAAAAAATCATCCTGAGTGAGGTAAACCAGACTCAGACAAACATGGCATGTACTCACTCATAAGAGGATATTAGATGTAAAGCAAAGGATAATCTTCTTACAATCTACAGCTCCAGAAAAGCTAGGCAACAAGAAAGACCCTAAGAAGGACAGACACATGGATTTTCCAGGAAGGGAAAATAGATGAGATCTCATTGGTGAACTGGGGGTGGGGCGGTAGAGGGGAGGGGAAGGGGAATGAGAACACGAGGGAATGGAATGGTCGAGTTGGGGGAGGAATGGGGAAGGAACAGCAATGAAAGATTATCTTGATTGAGGAAGCCATCAGAGGATTGGGGAGAAACCCAATGCTATGGAAATTCCCAGGAATCCACAAGGATGACCCCAGCTAAGACTCCTGGCAATAGTAGAGAGGGTGCCTGAACTGGTCTTCCCCTATACTGAGATGGGTGAATACCCTGTCATCATAGAGCCTTCATCTGGTCACTGTTGGAAGCAGATGCAGAAAACCAAAGCCAAGCACTAGGTAGAGCACCAGGAGTCCAGTCGCAGAGAGGGGGAAGGAATTGTGTGAGCAAGGGGAGGTCAAGGTCATGATAGGGAAAACTACTACTGAACCAAGTCCTGGGAACCCATGAACTCTAGACCAACAGCTGTGGAGCCTGCGTGAGACTGAACTAGACCCTCTACATGTGAGCAACAGCTGTATAGCCTGGTCTGTTTGAAAGGCTCCTGGCAGTGGAACCAGGCTCTATCCCTGGTGCATGAGCTGGCTTTTTGGAGCCCATTCCCTATGGTGAGATGCCTGGTTTGGCCTTGATATGTGTGTGTGTGTGGGGGGCGCATGTGATTTTGCCTCAACTTAATGTGCTAGGCTTTGTTGACTCCCCACAGAAGGCCCTACCCTTTTGGAGGAGTGGATGGGGGCTACTCTCGAGGGGGGCGGGAGGGGAGTAACAATAAGAGGGGTAGAAGGGGAAACTGTGGTTGATATGTAAAATGAATAAAAAATAGAAAATTAAACATCAAATTTTTGGGAAATTACTCCACTGTGAACAGACTTAAGGGCAATGATAAGTTTGACTAAATGGCCTATAGCTAAAAAAAAAAATTATGAAAATAAATTCAACAACTTACCTTTCCATTTCTTGTAGAATGCTTTTGATGTCTTTTCCTAACTTGAATTTTTTCCCAAATGGAATGTCAGAAATAATCACATCAACACTTTGTGACGGCAGTGGTAACTCTGCAATTCAGAAGCCAGAGACTCCGGTTATGGCAAGGCCAGGCATTGACCACCTCGACAAGACACTGACCTACAAGGACATTTAGAATTTCTGTATTGTTTCCACGAGATGACAAGACTCTGAATGCTTTAGAGATCCAAGACAAAGACCTCTGTGAACAGCTAGAGCTGTTACAGAGATAAACTCTGTCTCAGAAAAAAGAAAAAATCTGAACATTAAGATAACTGTGTTTTCACTCATCTACCAACCAGCTTCAAAGACATTGTTTCTGATGCCAAGTTATCAATGGTGAAGGCTGTGTTCATGAAACTGTCTGTAAACAACAAAGTTCTACTTCCATAGTTAAAACTTCTTCAGGTACATTTATATTTGAGAATGTATTTTGTCTGGAGGTATTCAAGTAACAATGGGTCTCAAGGTAAATTCCACTAAGTGGAGGCTACTCTCAAGTCTGCCTAAGATGGAAAATGGGAACATTTTAGCCCTTCAGAGCCCTTCCACTCAGTGACCTCAGCAAACATAAAATTCAAATAAGCTGTCTCTACTGTTTTTCTTTTATCAAGTGTAGACTCAACAAAATTAGGACTGCAGTTTTATTCCATTCTATTCTAGAATATACTCATGTCCAATTAAAATGAAGAAAGTCATCAGAAGATTCTTGCCACAAGACACCCAAGGTATATTTACAGGATGAATTTTATCTTGTACATTACTGAGCTTCATGCTTTCCTGGTTGCTAACTTTATTTTTAGTAACAAATCTCACACACACACACACCCCACAAGCATAAGAACACTTGCAGTTGAACAGTGAACAACATTAATTTAGAAACCAGGCATTCCATGCTGATGAAGTCATGATTCACACAGTGATGTTGAATGCATTTTCCTCAGCTGCATATGACAACACCTGGCTTTGATCCACAAATATCATTAAAATAACTTTTAAAATAAGTTCTGAAGTAGATGCTAGGTGGTTCTATTAGCAGACTTGTCTCACTTGGTCAGAGTGGACAGTTAATGTCAACATACTTCATTCACGTTACATGCTCATTACTGTCTTTCTAGAGAAGTGTAGAACCTTCCTGTTAAAGACACACTCTAATTAACTTACTGGCACTAGGAATTCATCACAAAATAGAAATGTTACCAAAAAATACAATGACAGCATGCAAACACTTAGGAGGTGAGCTCTTATTCATTTTCTGTTATACTTTATGTACACCTAGCCTATATGTCCCTCATTTGCTAGTAACCCCCCATAGGGGTAACACTAGCCAGATCAACAGGATGGGAGACGAGGGCTGGAGGAAAACACATTAGCATGAAGGAAAATGAAGCCATATGGTCTAAAACCAGCTCATTATACTTCAGGACAAAGATGGCAAAAACGCACAATTAGTAGCCAAAAATCTTGTTATAATAAAGCCTACTGATGAAGTGTTGAGTGACCAGCTGTCAAATGTCTTGCTGGATGCAACGTAAATATTCCCTTTACTTAGTTACCTTTTAATTATATCACAAATGTATTTCTTTTGTTCAAATCTGTGTGTTAGTTTCTATCATACGCTAAGAATATGTAAATGTCAACAGATGAAAATGCTTAGTCGGTGATGAGTTCTTACTTTCCTAGATAACGGGTGGCACAACACTCATTCTAGTCCATATTTTCAGGATGATTAAAATTCAGGAACAAATTCGTAGAATTTCTTCATGTTAAATGATCATCTTTGTTTATATTAGCAGAGGGTTACAACACAAAGTGAATGCTAGCAAGAAGCAGAAATAATAAAGCCATTAAAATACAATAAAGTGGAGGCAATAAGATGGCTCAGTGGGTAAAAGTTCTTACTGCCAAGTCTGATGACCACAGTCCACTCCCTGGACCCCACATGGTGGAAGGAGAGAACTGACTCCTGTAAGTTGTCCCTGAGTTCACATGTGCCAAATGGAGCTCATGTGTGTGCACACACAAACAAACAAAAAATAATACAATAAAGAGAATAAGATTATGGTTTTATATAAATGAAAATCACTATATGCTGTGGGACAATGATCTTGTATCCTGTAAAGATTTGTCAGTTGTATTGCTTTATTAAAATGCTGATTGCCCAGTAGCCAGGCAAGAAGTATTGGGGGGAGGAGGCAACCGGGCAGGAAGTAGAGGCAGGGCGATGAGAACAGGAGAATGCTGGGAAGAGGAAAGACACAGTCTGCAGTTGTCACCCAGACACAGAGGAAGCAAGATGAGAATCCCTTGCTGATAAAAAGTACCAAGCCACATGGCTAACACAGACAAGAATTATGGGTTAATGTAGGCTGTAAGAGTTAAAAGAAGCCTGTCCATGCGGGGAAGGGGAGGGAAATGGGAGGAGGTGGAAATTTTTAATAATAATAAAAAAAAGCTTACATAGAAAAAAAGAAGCCTGACCAGTTTATAATTAATGTAGACCTCTGTGTGTTTCTTTGGGAATGAAGAGCTGTCAGATCGGGCAGGAAAGAAACCTCTGTCAAAAACTATTATTTAAGAAAAGCAGAGATACCTTTTCTTGTTTTTGAAAGTGAAACTATACAGAAAACATCTCCAAAACGAATCAACAGTGGAGCTGGGAATGTGGCAGAGGTGCAGAGGGCAATCATTGTGCCCTCCCTCAAGTCTGCAAGGTACATGGAGAAAGCAAACAGATTTTAAACCCTGGCTCTGAGACAGCTTAGGAAGCCATTCTCTTACAGGTCTCAGGAAGAGCTTCTTAAAGAATCAGACTCAGGAGAACTTGATTTGCTCATCTCTGTTTACTCTAGAAATCTAGGCCTCAGGACAGACCAAATGGTCACTGGCTGACAACAGCCTTGAGTGTGAGATCAGCCTAGGTCTTTCTTTGAGGCTACTTTATGAAGCTTCGCTACAAAACTGATCTTAACATGTGCTCCTGTGGTACTCATTTCTGCTGCTTCATCTCTCTAGAAGAGAAGCGATAAAAACACACTCATGGACAAGAGCATGATCCATCCTCCTCAGCAGAATTAAATAAGCTGAATTTTAAAAAGGGGAGTGTGATATCAAGGGATGGCAAGTAGTCAAGGAGCTCAGCAATGCCCTGTTAACACTACCAGGCCAGAGGTTAGGGAGATACGACAGGGGCTCTGCATGCTTGGTTCCTGATTCCATCTGCCCCTACTGATTCCCTATCAATGAAGAGGGGATGATGGTTACATCCATCTTGGTTTACTCCAGACCTCATTGGGTTCTTAAAAGTATTGGTTTACTACCCAGGGCTGGGTGACTAAGTCACCCACTTCTCGGTGCCCACTGTGAAGCAGAAGATCAGCTAATTCATTTCATACAGTTTATGTAGAAAGAATTAAAATAATGTCTTTTTCCTCTAATACTCTATGTAATGGTTGTATCCTTTCATTCCAGGCTGTGAGATGGCAATGACTCAGTTGTAACAAACACATCCTCAAAAAATGTGCTCCAGCTTAAGTACTATGAAAGTCACATAAATATATCCCTTCCTGCTGTGGGAACTCCTTCAACCAACAGCCTTTAAGATACTGGCCCACTTTGGGTGTGGTCTCATTGTCATGGATGACAATTTGCTATCTGATTCAAATGTAGATACTTAAGAATGCCTGAAGAAGTGATGTGGGAGTGTCATATATCAATCTGTTGATTTCATTGGTTAAGTAATAAACACACTGCTTGGCCTCATAGGTTAAAGCATTGGTGGGAGGAATAAACAGAATAGAATTCTGGGCAGAAGAGGAAGTGAGGTCAGACTCTGCTCTGCTCCTGGAGAGACCTGACAGCTCTGCTGGAGCAGAGACGCCATGCTCAGCTCTCCCGGGCAGATGCACGCAATGAAGCTCCTCCGAGTAGGCTAGACTCTTCCCGGTAAGCGCACCTTGGGGTGCTTACACACATCATTAGAAATGGGCTAGTCCAGGTGTGAGAATTAGCCTGTAAGGGCTAGAGTTCATGGGCCAAGCAGTTCTTAAATGAATACAGTTTGTGTGTTGTTATTTCGGGCATGAGCTAGCCAAGCGGCTGGGGTGTTGGGGACGCAGCACCGCCGCTCCTTATTTCAACAAAGAAGTAAATATAGTTTTGCCTAAAAGGGGATTACAAATTGCTTCTGAAAAAATACAGAAAGGAGATTCAGTCAATGACTTAGGTTATAAAATAGTTATACAGAAAATTAGAACACAAAAAAAGCAAATTAGAAGAGATCAATTGCAGACTCTTAATGACTTTCAAAGATTGCTAGGAGACATTTCCAATCTATGACCCACTGTTGGGATAACACTTGATCTAATAAGTCATTTAAACAAAACCTTAGATGGTGACCAAGACTTAAATAATGAAGCTGAGAAAGAATTAACTGTGGTTGAAGAGAAATTACAGGAGGCACATGTAGAACGAGTGTATCGGAATCTTAACTTTATTCTGGTCATATTGCCCTCCAAAATTTCCCCTACAGGAATTTTAATGCACAGGGAAGATATTATCTTAAAATGGATCTTTTTACCACATAAACTGAGTAAAAAACTAAAAACTTATGTGGAAAAGGTCTCTGAATTAATTATAAAAGGAAAATTGGGACTTCATCAACCAGCAGGAATAGACCCAGCAGAGATTTTACTACTCTACCTTTTACTACCGATGAAATTAAAAAATTAAGGGAAGACAATGAACCCTGGCAAAGAGCTTGTGCTATCTTTTTTTTTTTTTGGAGAGATTAAGAGCAACTCTCCCAAAAATTATAGAATTAACCTTATAAAGAGAGCTACTTGGATCCTTCTCCACATTGCATGTGACACACCAATAACTGGAGCCCGTACAGAAGCAAAAAAAAAAAAAAAAAAAATCAGGAAAGGCAGGTTACAAATCAGAAGATATAAGTAGAACAAAACCCTTGCAATTTGTCCAAGAGTCAAAATTCTATGCTATTCTCAATGGTACTAAGGGATTTTAAGAACCTCTCAATATCGTTACTGATTCACAATATGCAGAAAGAGTTGTTTTGCATATCGAAACCATTGAATTTATACCAGATGATACAGAATTGACTTCATTATTCATCTAGGTTCAAGATATAATCAGGAATTGGCTTTTTCCCATATACATAATAAACATCTGATCTCATACGAGTCAGCCAGGTCTTCCAGCACAAGGTAATGCAGTAACTGACTGATTATTGATTGGAAATGTGCTGAAGACCTCAGAATTTCATAAAAAACATCATGTCCATAACAAAGGTTTAAAGAAAGAGTTCCCTATTATTTGGCAACAAGCTAAGGAGATTATAAGATGTTCTATTTTTTTCTTTCTATAACCAAACACCACTACCTGCAGGGAGTAGCCCAAAGGGTATTCAAAGGAATAAAATCTGGCAGATGGCTGTGTTCCACTTCATAGAATTTGGAAAATTAAAGTATGTGTACCACACCATTGACACCTATCCAGTTTTCAATAGGCAACTGGAAAAGGCTGATTCGATAATCACGCATTTACTAGAAATTATGATCATTATGGGTATACCTGTACAAATAAAGACAGACAATGGTCCAGCATATGCCTCTAAGAAAACGAAACAGGTTTTTGCTTATTGTAATATAAAGCATATTAAAGGTCTACCAAACAACCCTACAGATCAGGCAGTTATAGAAAGATGAAATTGAACTGTAAAGGATATGTTTAACAAACAGAAAGGATGGAAAATACCCCCAGAAATAGATTGCATAATGCTTTATTAACCTTGAATTTTCTTAATGCTAATGAGAAAGGAACAATGGCAGCAGAGAGACATTGAATAATAGAAAAAAAAAAACACTTCTGAATTAAATCAGCTGGTGTATTTCAAGGATATGTTGACCTCAGAATGGAAACTGGGAGATGTGCTATGTTGGGGAAGGAGTTTTACTCTGGTTTCCACAGAAGAAGAAAAGCTATGGATACCATCAAAATTAATAAAGAGGAACCTCTTGAGAAAGAGAAATGACAACTCATCCACAGAAGTGACAATCATACAGGTGGTAAGAAAACCTCATGAGGGTTGGGGCAGGATTCTGTTCTTATCTTTGCAGAAAAATACTCGTCTTCAAAAAGTCAAAAGACCTTGGACATCTAGATGCCTAAAGAAGACAGCTATCCAGAAAGAATCACCAAGCAAGGAGAAATCTGACTTACAGTACCATATCCTCTGCAGGATAAAATTTCATTACCTGAACATACATACATACAACAATACACTTCTCAGTATAATAAAACCCTATATCACTTAAAAATCAAAGCTGGCTTTGGAGTTGGACAATGACTATCCTCTAAATCCAAGCATGTTGTTAAAAGAAAAATTCAGAGTTTCTGTTTCATATCAGGAGCCATCTGGTATGGTAGAGAAAGAAGAAAGAATTCAGGAAACATTTTACTTCTCCCTATACGTATTTTTGTCTATATAGTACCTTTCAATGAATATGTCTATATGAATAATTTTTAAGTTTTTCACAACAAATAATAAATTTTCCTGCAGAAATCTTTGAAGTTTCCAGGAAGAGGATGGGGTCCAACAATGATGATTCCACCTAGTTGATATGACGTCATTATGTTGGTTCACCACTTTAAGATCGGTTTTGGGTTACAAGCTACTCAAGATGGTTCCAACTTGGCTAGCTGAGATGGTGTACCTTCTTACAACGTTCTGCCCAGAACTTCAAATAAGAACTTCAGAAAAACCCTACTGACTACTCAGAGAGTACCTGCAATTATACCAGACAGTAATCTTGAATCTTAAGCATCATTTTACTTTTACAGGATCCCATAGAAATAACATTGTCTCATAACAGTTGGAAGTAATTCTAGAAGACGATGTCCCCTCTCCCAACAAAGTTTGTCCTAAGTGTTAGGGACATCTAATAGGGGTTGGGGGTTGGGGTGGAAATTAAGTAGGCTTAAGGATCTCTTTTGAAAAAAAAAGGGATTGGATGGGATAATAGGTAGATTAGTGTAAGCTTACTCAAACTAATAATAATAGTGAATAATAGTGAGAATACTTGTGAGCTATTACTTATAGACAATTTACATTGATATAGATTCTTAAATATTGATACAAATTCAAATTATATTTGTTATATTGAATATGCTCATAGTTCTGTTTACAATATTTGTACACCTGTGCAAAGTTATTTCATCATATTGTATGCATGCATATATTTATCATACTGCACTATATATCTCTACCTCTGATCAAGATACTATACACTGTTTACATTTTGACATCATTATCCTCATATGCTGCAGTTATTTCAGGATTTTTTAATATAACATGAAGCCTTAGTCTTTAAGCTATATAGTTATTAAGAATTATAAGTCAATAGTCATCTACAGTTAGACTAATCAGGTTCTTTAGATACACAGAGATTGTATTCTGCATAGACAGGTAATCTTTAACCCCTTCAAAGAATATGGCATCAAGTAACTTAGGATTCTGTTGATGTGAGACATGATTGCTCCTGGCAGCACTCATCTATTCCAGAGAGAATGCTGGGCATCAAAGACACTCCACTTGGAGGTTGTTTTCTTTTTGGCAAAACCGGCCTTTGGGCAAAGAACCGTCCATGCCTTGACCACTGACAAAAAGCATGGTGTTTAGACTGGACAAGTAGGATACAAGCAAAAAGACTGCCAGACTTTGCCAAGACAGGGTAAGATGGTTTTAAAAACTTTTCTGCCTCTGAAAATGGTCTGTCAGTTACTCTAGGCCTTAGCCAAAGTGGGTTGCCCCAACATTGCAAATGAGACTTTAGGTGATTAACTAGGTTGTCTTTGTCATTTCTTACATCTTTTGGAAGTTGCGTGATTGCACTTCCTGCTAACTCAAGTAATATTATTTCCCTTCTCAGGTCTTAGATGGGGTTGAAGACTAGATAGTCATAGTTACTTTCCTCTCATGACTCAGCCAAGCCATTTCTAATACAAGACTTAGACACCTTAGAATAGGAGAACTATTGAAACATTTAGCATATGTTTCTTGCTTGATGTTGTTCATGCTGGCTGTAATTCTAATTTTTATACTTGATATTTATTCTTATTGTATATAGTTTTGTATTGGGTTTAGAACTCTCTTATTTAGACAAAAGGGGGAGGTGCTGTGGGAACTTCTTCAACCAATAGCCTTTAAGATATCGACTCTGGGTCTCATGTGCTATAAATTCAGAGCAAAAGAACGAGTGTGTCTCTTGGCTGCTGAATTCAGTTCCAGTTCTCTGCTCACGCAGAGAACTGCTGATCACTGCTGATCTGTGAGTCTACCCCTAAATAAAGAAACCTTTATTATGCTCCATTCTGGGCCAGTGTGGGACTACTTTATTTCAGTCTACAACAGCTTCCCAATCAGGAATATTTTGAAAGAAACAAGTTAAACAATTACAGTAGTGAAGTGCGTATTAGTCCCACACACCTTCCACAGGGTGTAAGCAACCAAACTACCTTACCTGTGACAGAGACTTTAACTAAGTCAATCTTGTCCGCAAGGCCTGCAGCCTTCACATTGTCACATGCACCAAGTAACTGCGAGTCACTGACATCAGCACCCATGTAATACACATCCTGTGGGAAAGAAGTCCATATTTTAAGTATAAATAAATCCATTAAGCATTTCAGTAATTAAGAAAATCTACTTGCATTTTATTAAAGGGAAAAAGTAAAGTTAAAAGATTCTTAATTTCAAGTTAAAACAGTTTAAAGTTGTGGTGATATTTTGTTTGTGCTCTAACAAATAAAGTGAGGAACTAGCCACTGGTTAGCCATAGAGTCCAGGCAGTGGTGGCACACACCTTTATTCCTAGCACTTGGAAGGCAGCTGCAGACAGATCTCTGTGAGTTCAAGGCCACTCTGGGCTACATAAAATTGATTCAATCTAAAAGAGAAACAGAGCCAGGTAGTGATGGCTCACACCTTTAATCCCAGTACTTGGAAGTTACACGCCTTTAATTCCAGCACTAGGAAGGTAGAGACAGGAAGGCTATGACTGGGTGGAGAGAGGAACATAAGGCAAGAGACAGAAGCTCATGGCATTTCAGTCTGAGGACATGTAGAGACAGGATACTCCAATCAGTATGAGGATTTTGTAGAGGTAAGAACTAGTGACTGGCTGCTCTGCTTCTCTATCTTTCGGCTTTCACCCCTAATATCTGATTCCAGGTTTTTATTATTAAGACCAATTAGAATTTGTGTTACATAAATAATTAAAAAAAATACACAACAGTAAATTTTAAAGTCTGTTAATATTTTACCATTATGGATGACTAAAGAATTTGGAAATTAGTATAATATAGGTATGAATAATTATTAAATCCTGTCATATTTTCTTAAATTCTTCATAGCATTTAAAGAAAAAAATATAGAAATTTAATGAACTCTTCAAAATCTCATAATTATAGCAAACAGAAACTCATATAATTACTATAATCGAAAACCAGACTATCTACTTGTAAAATATTGGTAAATGATATAATTATTAAAAATATAACTTGATTTAGACAAATCTTTGCAACTTACTGGCCACTCTTTAGCAGCTTCCACAAGTATGGTCCCAAGGCCACACATTGGATCCAGAACCAGAGCTCCAGCCTAGACAGAAAGAGAAATTGCTGTTACTAAGTCTGCTGCAACAGGTCTACTATAAAAGAAGCCTAAACCTGGGGAGTCATTATTTTAGGAGTCAAGATTCCTTCTTATACTCTAGGAGAACTTGGGCAGTTCAAATCCTAAGGCAGGACTGCATTTGTCACGGTTTGAGGCAGGAGGGAGCCCAGTAGGTTCAGGGAACAGCGAGTGGTGGTGGGGGGCAAAGGCAATGTAACACAGGAGATGTAGCCAGGGAATGACAAGACTGTATAATCCCCAGACCTCAGAGGTCTACAATAACATGCAGCCCATGCCCACAAAGCAGGGCACCTGGGCTTTGATGCTTTCTGGAAGCCAGGCTGATAAAATGGTCACCATTTGAACGGTGAACGCCATCACCATGCCAGAGGGCGGCGTGCAGGGCAGTTGTGCATTGATCTGGATGGTATCATCTGGATGTCATTCCCAGGACTTCCAACAGCACCAGGCTGGTTAAACCCTATCAGTCTCATGGTTCACAAAGCCCCAAGGAGTCAAGGCAATGCAATACTATTTGAAGGGAAATAGAAATTTGGAGAAAAAACTAATTTCTCTCACAGTAATATGTCAGATCTTATCAGTACCCTAAGGATTCTGGTTCTGTCGATGAGGGACAGACAACTATTACAGGGTGTGGTTAAAGAAGTGACATGGTGTTGCAGTTGGAGGGGATCGAACTGGCTGCTATGAAGCATGAACCACAAGAGGCTGGTTCTGGAGTCTGGGCAGGAGAGACCAGACACTATAGATATTCTGATAGAAGTAGGATTCTGGGTGTATTTAATGTAGACTACTGAAGAACCCCAATAGGCTGGCATGACTAAACCTTCTGCCTGATGGACAGAGGGAGACCTGTCTGTTACTGGTGGGGACAAAGGAGTGGAAGGAGAGGTAAAGGAGTAGGGAACTCTGCTAGTTTTGAGACATCTCTTAGACGTCTTGGTAGAGATGATGAGTGAGTAGAGGATAGACGAATCTAGAGCTCAAGGTTCAGGCTAAGATATAAATGTGGGGACAATCAATGTGAGTATTTAAAGCCTAAGAACTGGACGAGATCACTCGGGAAGCAAAGGGAGTTAAGAAGGGACATTTATGTGTCAGGCCTTGGTGCTCTCTAGAAGGTGAGGCTCAGTCATGCTCACTGAGAGGTGGTGACATGCTCCAGGATGAGTGAGAGCTAGCAGTTCTAACCAGCAGAGAAAGTCTGCTCCAGGGAGAGTGGTCGCATCACCGAATGTTAACAAGGATGATGGGCGGGTTGGGGTGGTCTTCATGAAAGCAGTGGGTAATGAGAGAATGGGAAGGAAGGAACCAGAGGCAGCATGTATCCGCTGTTTTCTACTTCCAGCAGTGGTTTGAACCTTGAACTCGTTAGAGAATGTTTTTTGTCTTTTTTTTCAAGTTGTAAGCTATTAGAGCAGTGGACAGTGATGCAAATGGTCTATTAGTGTCCTTAGGTATGAAAGAGGAAGCCCAATCCAGTACCTGGTTCTAGGGTAGAACGACAATTCACCACTGAAGGACAAAAGGCGGTGCTATGCTATGTGGGCGCAGACTCACATGCTGATAGATTAGGTGAAGAGAACACACTAGCACACTAGTTCTGGCTCTAGTAATCAAGACAAATATGAAGGAAGAGAATCGATAGTGTAGAACCAAAATAGCCAGTGCACGAGAGCAGACATTTTTCTTTTTAAGAAACAAGGCCTTGCAATGTTACTGAGGCTGTCCTCAAACTCTTGGGCCCTTGTGATGCTCCTGCCTCAGTTTCCTGTTGAGAGATATTTAATTACACTGTGTAAAGACATGTCACTGTGACTGGTTTAGTAAAAAGCTAAATGCCCAATAGGTAGGCAGAAGGTACAGGTGGGACATCTGGACAGAGAGAACTCAGAAAAGAAGAAAGGGGGAGTCGCCAGGCAACTGTTGAGAAGCAGGATGGGCAGTACAGAGTGAAGGGAACTGAGCGATGTAAAACAGTGGGTTAGGAACAAGCCTAAGCTAAGGCCAAGCTTTCAAGATTAATAAGTCTCTGTGTCCCTTTTTCTACCTGCAGCTTCCCAAGTAGCTGAGACTGTAGGCACACATTTCCACACCTGGCAAGAGCAGGATTCTCGAAACAGAGACATCCAGACACACCCTTCTGGATTTGACATGGCCTAGCAAGTGACTAGGGCAGGCTGATAGAGGGAGGGAGCCAATAAACCAAGAGGCATCCTGTCTCCTGGCTATGGGATCATTAAGAAGCAGACAGGAATAAAGGCTTATACCTCTAACAGGAACAACAGAGAAAGAGGTCTGCATTTGACTGGCATAATCTAACAACATGAGCTTTTAGGGTAGAAGAAAGGAAGCAAAAACCAAGCAAGCAGGACACCTACCCCACTTCAAGTTGAGTGGCACTGGACATGTCTACAGAGGAAGCAGGGTCCCCAGGGCAGAGCCAGGCGGCAGAACCAGACGAGACCTGAAGGAAAGAAGTGAAATATCCTTCAGGAAAAAAACAAAAAACAAAAAACCTGTATCCTGGCACCAAATGTATGTCTACATCAAAACAAAGGCAAGATTTCAGATTTGCATGTGGTCACAAAAACTTATGTTTAAGTGCAAACTTTGGAACTACTCAAAGTATAGAAAAGAATAGCGAGTAATTATGTCTCTAGTCTTATACCAAAATAAATTGGGATAAAGGTTAAAGAATAGCATGGGGGCTAGACCTCTGGTCAAGCTGATGCTCAGACCTCAAGGCTGAGCTTACCATTTATTCGAGGCATACAAATGTCCATTGGCAGCATTCTTTGGCCCATCTAATGGGGAGCAATGCATTCTACCTGCCCTAGTGAGCAGAGCTTCTAACTACTAGAGGGGCGATGAGTTGAGACTTCACCGATACTCACACACAACAAAAAATATGACTTTTACGTTATAAAAATCAACAATGAATTAAGGGAGATCTCCGTTATTCTTGGAACTTAGAAGAACAACTCAAACGGAGAGGTAAAATATAAAGAGATGAAAACATATGGGAAAGATGAATGACTGGGAGGATGGAGCCAGCAAGTTAACAGGCTCTACCAGGAAGTTCAGAGGTCAGAAATAAAGAGTTTAAAGTTAAATTCACAGGACAGCTGAGGCAATGATATTAAATATTGGAAGAAAGTGCTGTTAGGAGGAACGATGATTATTATTAAGCAGAACCAATTTCATATGCCATAACAACTAACACTTGTGTCCTTTCTACGACAGTCACTAGTTTAATTGCTTTATTGACGCTAATTCACCTCGTCCTGATATGAACCTATTATAACCATCATGACAGGAAGGAAAGTATTCTGAGGAGAGTCTCTCCTCTCACTCCTGAGAAAATGGACCCCAAGAAATTTCCCTTGGAACCTAATGCTGAGCGTAACAAAAGCCAGAGGAATTTGTCTCTGAAAGATTTCACACAGTTCTGACAGTTGTCAGACCACTGTGCAAGAGAGATGGGGCTGAGACAGTGGTGACAATGATGGGCAGGAGAACCTAGGCCTGGGTGGCTTAGTTATGCATACCAGCCCTTTATTAACCTAAATACTCTGTCAGGACCTCAGAGATGGGCTTGCAGATGAGTAGGTCACTGCATACTTTTTGTTAGCTTCTTTCCTAACGTGATCTCATTGAACACATCTCGTTTTGCTATTCAGGATTACTTGCTTGATTTTTTAATTTAAAAATTATTTCATTTCATGTATGTGAGTGTTCTGCCTGCATGTATGCCTATGCACTATGTGTGTCTGGTATCTGAGGAACCCAGAAGAGATTTGGATGTCCTGGAACTGGAGTTACAGATGGTTGTGATCCATCATGCGGGCGCTGGGAATTGGATCCTTGTCCTCTGCAGTAGCAGCTCTGCTTTAGCCACTAAGCTTTTTCTTCAGCCATTTGTAAATATCCATTTGGCCTTTCAAGGACAGGCAGCCAAGCCCATCAGGGCTGCTAAGGCCCAGGCTCTGACTCTAACAACTACTTTAACAGTATGAGATGTTATTTTCATCTTGCAAGCAAAAAAACTGAGGGATAGTTGTTAAATATTGTCCCTGAAAGTCCTTGGCCAGTAAGTGCTGGACACAGAACTGAACCAGCAGGTGGATTTGGAAACTCTGGGCTTGAATGGAAATACACCCAGGCACGCACAACAAAAGGCCACATGTACAGAGAACCTGGTAATACTCCTGAGCTTTAGGGGTCAAAAGAAAACTCTTAGGAGTCTACTAGCAGAAAGAACCAAGAAAACCCACAGTGCATGGGAGTTCATCTGAACACCAGAAGCTAAAAGACAGGAGGAGCATCATGGGCTGAAAGGGGAGAAGAACTCCAGACAAAGCAGATTCGGACCATGGCCAGTCAAATACAGGAGGAGAGGCGATGGCTATGGAAAGACTTTAACCCCGCCATCACCTGGGGGGGGGGGTGGAAGGGAAAGAACAAACGACATAAGGAGCAGCACATCTCAGAGGGATAAGTGTGCTTGGACATTAGGATGGGCATGGTGGCCACAAAAGGGCCAACTAAGATTCTGAACTGCAGGGCAGCTTTATGGGAAACCGTGATGCACAGTGAGGCATTTAGTTCAGTCTGGCATCTGGGGGCTGGGAGAGGAAGTCAGGACAGCTGCAAGGTCTCATGGCAGGGAAGGGAAGAGAAATACTCATGACCCAAAAGGCACAGGTAGGAAGAAGCACAGACAGGCGTGATCAATTTGGAGTGGGCGAAGCGACTTAATAGAATAGTCAGTAAGTTAAATCCCTAGATGTTCATGGTCACACTAGGGGGCAGCTCACAGGTAAACAGTAAGAAGCTGTGAAAGGCAAAAAGACAGGAAGTGGAAGAGGAAAACAGGAAGTGGATCTGCCATGCCTCTTCCTGGATGTTTCAATGAAAGTGACAGGGACAGAAAAGATCTAAAACCAGGTGTAGCACTGAGTGTGGCGGTAACAAACTGAAAACAGAGGGGCTGACACAGAAGCACTGTCACAAGTTCAGGACCAGTCTCGGCACCAAAGGTGCTCAGGCCTGCCTGGGAGGAACAAAGGGCAGAACAGCAACCAAAACCAAACAAAGAATAAAAACCCCCAAACCCTTGAACTTGAAGATAAAAAGAAAGACACGTAAGATGATGAGACCCTGGAGAAGCTGGCTGACCCAGATAAAGAGGTTTCACTGCACTTGGATCGCAAGAAGCCATGCTAATGCAGACAGTAGCACAGGGAAGTTCGGAGTAGCTTCTAGACACTAGCAAAAGCAGCAGAGGTCAAACAAGACATTTCAATTAGAAAACACAATTTCCCACTGCCAGGGGAACACTTACAGACTGATGATCTTGGATACAGAGAAAACAAACACTTTTTTTTTTTTTTAAAGATGTAGGTTCTTTCGACCACATTTTTGATTATGACTCACAATATCAGAAATAATAAAATGCAACTCACTTTGACCTTAGCCTTTTCACTCAAGATGCTTAAAGAAGTTCAGTATGGAAAATCAAAAATCAAAAAGCAAGAAACAAAAAGTAGAAACTATACAGCTTTTAAGTCAAATGGCAGCTGCAAAAACCAAAAAACAAAAATAAATAAAGGGGAGTAACAACAACAACAACACCGGGTGCCCACTAGCAGCAAGGACCCTGCTGGCACTGGAGGGATGTAGGCAGCTTCCTGACCTTAATTTCAGCAATAGATGCCATGGCCCATGCTATAGTTGACCGCAGCCCAGCTGTCTGGATGTAAGTTCTGCTGGCTAAGGGAACTCTGCAGGAAAGAGATCAGGAAGGTATTAAGTATTACCACAGTATGTTAAAGAACAGGATGCAAAACACAATCATTCTGTCTATATCTGAGAAGTACTTTAACATATCATTCTGATATATTCTTTGAACCAGAGGATATTTTAACCTTATTATTAAATACCTTCTACATTAGGGCTTTGCTTAATCAACTAGTGTGGTACTTAACAATATGAAATTTTCTAGACAACTGAAATTTAAACTCTCCTATGTTTTCAGTTACAAAACTGTAATCACACACTAAGGAAACCTCTTACTTAGCACTTCCCTGTCTTTACACAGAACAGATGGTGTCATCAAAAGGCCAGGGCTTTGTAATCTGAGTGTAATATGAGAAATTCAGTCTCTTCTGTAAGCTTGGTTTCTGCTGATCTGCATCTTTCTCAGAAGATACAGTGAGACAGGAGCATACAAATGAGTCTCGGCTCTCATTCTTAACCATAGCACAGACCACCTTACACCATCCCTCATCCATTATGTAGAAAATACCATGTTCTACATTTGACAGACTTCAAAGTAGTTCAAGTACTGTCAGACTATCAAGTATTATTTCTATCATTCTGTGTGTATGTAGGTCAGAAGCCAACCTGGGGTGTTGTTCCTCAGAGGTTATCTATCCTGACTCAAGATATTTGATTATACTGTGCAAAGATGAGTCACTCTGATTGGTTTAATAAAAAGATAAATGGCCAACAGGTAAAAAGAAGTTAGATGGGACTTCTGGGGACAGAGAGGACTCTGGGATAGAGAGAAAAACGGAGGTGCAAATGGAAGAGAGGTAACATCAAGTAAAAGAATGTAGATTAATATAAGTGGGTTAAGTTAAATGAGCTAGTCAGGAACATGCCTAAGCTGTAAGCCGAGCTTTCATAATTAATAAGAGGTCTCTGTCTCTGGGAGCCAGCTTGGGGAGGGGGACACAGAGAGACTCATTATACTGTCCACCTTGTTTTTTAAGACAGGGTCTCTCACTGGGACCCAAGGCTTGCTGACTAGGCTTGGAATGTTGAAGGAGTGCAGGGACCCACCTGCCTGTCTCTACCAACCCAGGGATGAGGTTACAAACACATACTACCATATCTGGCTTCTTATGGAGTTCTGAGGATGAAGCCAAGTGCTTATGAGGGTACAGCAAGTATTTCACAGACCGAGTTGCCTCCCCAACCTCTACTTCTACCTTTCTAACGCAACACACATGTGGTATCTTGGAAAGTTCAATGTGGTTTTGTAGCTACAGTTTGTGGGTAAGATAAAGAAGTCAGGATTTCAGGAATGTGTGCTGGTGTTTGGGGGGCAGGTTTATTTTAGAAACAGTTACAGGGCTTTCACACAAAGTCACACTGTTTTCTGCACTCTTCTAAAACACTCTGTAATTCCAGGCGTTGACTTCTTTTATCATTTTGTTTCTCATCTTTATCTGACTTGAAATTATTCTGTAAGTTTGTATCCAGCACAAGCCTGTTAATTGAGGCCTTTTCAGGAAATGACAGTCCACATTATAAATAGTGCCACACTCAAAGCGCTGGATTCCAGGCTGTACACTAGTAGTAGATACCATGGCCACGTGGTACAGGTACAGGTAATAATACCGTTGGGATTTCAAACTGTTAAAAGATCCAAAGAGTTCTTGTCTTTAATGAAAGCAAGCCCTTTAGGAACTACTAAGATACACATTTGAATGTGACCCCCAGACATCCTGGGTATCTTATGCCATTTCATAATTTTCCACTTTCTTCCACGGTCAGGGCTTCCATGCTGTTCTTTTTGTTCACACTCTTGAAAATCATTCTTAGTCAGGACACATCTTTTTTTTTTAAATTTATTTATTTATGATTTCTGTCTCTTCCCCACCGCCGCCTCCCCTTTCCCTCCCCCTCC